CATCCAAGAGAAGCACCAGAGCACCCAGGGGCAGCTCTGGCTGCATGTTGCAGAGTGCTGTGGTGACCTGAGTGAGGGCAGCCAGAGCACACCAAGGCAAAAATGCTTTGCTGTCCCTCATTGAGGTAGACAAGCAAGCAGGGAAACCTGAGAACTGGCTGTCCGATGCGGGGGCTTTAAGCACAGACCTCAGGCAGCAGCCCCACACAGTAAGTCCTGATCTGGTGGCCTGCCGGAACTGGTTCCGGCCAGCCTTAAATGCGATTCAGCGTCCACTCAGTGTGGACGTGTTATTTCGAAATAGCAAAATGCTATTTCAAAATGCATTAACGAATTAACTATTTCAAAATAAGATATTTTGAAATTACGCTGTAGTGTAGACCTACCCTCAGAGGCTAGTTCAGCCACCTGCTGCCAACACACAATTTTAAAAAGTATTTTAAGGCAGTAAAGACAGTGAACAGCACTGTCATCCTTCCAAGGAATGTTGTATTGCACATACAAATAGCAAACCTCATGTGAATTAAATCATTTTCCTCTTCTTCTGAGATAGCTTCCGTTGACCCATACAGGATCTCTCAAATGGCAATTGCCGTCTGTGGGCTGCTGTTGTGTCTGTTGCTGATTCCCTTGTAATTAAATACACGCCTGTAATGTGCGGACCAATGACAGTGACTCAAATGGTATTTTCTGTCTCTATACTCTATATATGTAATATGAAAAAAATAGCAGCAAAAATGGTTGATCAACTTAGCTCTCTTTTCTGATATGCTAGGAAGAACAGGAAGAGAAATAGCAACATATTGTGTCAATAGTATTTGACAAACCTAGATTTTCAGTGGACAAAAAGTGCAGTGAATTAAGTTTACAGAATTAAGACTTTTGGGGGGGGTTCAATATAGTTTCCATTATAAATAGAATTTTTCCCATAAATGACTGCCTCTTGAATGTTAGCAATCCACAAGTTATACCTTTTTATTGAAGACCAGTTGGTATGCCAATTCATGGCGCCCAAATGTTTCTAGATGAGGTCAGTTCTTCAGGCTTTACTTAAGTGACATTCCTGTTGAAAGCAATGGGATTTGTAAAATGAAGGGGTGGAAAGGAGACCTAAGATTAAAAGCAAGGTCATGCTCTTCTCTCAGTTACACCAGTATAGATTCTGAGTAACTACTAATGTCAGCGGCGTTACTTTGGGTGTACACCACAGTAACAGAGCAATATTTGGGCATACATTTTATAGCATTACAGGCAGCCCACAAGGATAAGCCACACTCTCCAAATACCCAAGGATTTTCACTGTGCTCTTCATTTCTAGTTAATGGATATACTGGCTGCAAAAACTGGCAGAGCACATAGTGTACAGCTCCTAAGGGGAATAGTTATGCCTACTGCATCTTTATTAAATGGGATAGTGGTTGGAGCACATGCTTTTCTGGGACTCGGGTTTGATTTCGGCCAAGGCCAGCAATGTAAAATGAGCTGTAGCGGGATTATTCCGGCTTCTTCTGGATGAATTTACATCCCATCACTTTTCTTGCATGCTGAAGTAAGGCGCAATACTTACAAATATCTTCATGGTTGCTGGCATGGAACAAATGACACTCAATGCCTCCGAGGGCTATGTCCACTGGCTCCCTTGCCAGTGTAGTATCACACTTATGCTCTGTATCTCCTCAATGAATATCATCTTTCCAACAGCTTTCATAGGAGAGCCTGTGGGACCACCACACTGGAATACCTAATGGTTAGAACATTCATGTGTAAGGTGGCAGAACCTTGAACGGGGGACCTCCCACATCTCAGAGGAGTACCCTAACTACGGGGCCGAAACTTTTGAGGGAAGCAGTCCTCCCACCCCAAGCTCTCTTGTAACTATGGCATCGTAGGCATCTAACTCCCAGACTGTCTATGGTACAAGCCTGGGGCTGGGATGCTCCTGCTCATGTACCTCACACTTGCATTAGCCCTTAATGAGCTAGCATGAGTGTAAATACCAGTGTTGCTGCAGCAGAGGATTGCATTCAAGCCCACTTGAAACCTGTGTTGGTATGCTCAGCCCTGCTTCTGCCCTTGCTGCTATGGCTACACTACTACTGACACTAGCGCTAGCTCGGTGAAAGCTAGCATATGTGCATACAAGCAGAGGACTTGCACTCCAAGCTCATAGCACAGCTATAGCCCAAGAGGGAGTTCTTTGCTGAGAATCACACACAGAGAGGCACGTCCCTGCAGCCTGGACTTGCATAGCTCTCTTGTCCATGTTGCCCATTGTCTTAAATTAGCTTGCCTTGCACGTGGACTTCTGTGAATCCTGTAAGATGCTGCTCTCCCATTCATTGTACTGGGAGTATAGGCTTCCTCCTCAGGCCGTGTGAATCACACTGATTTTTTCTGTGTTCCTAAAGGTTAGGTATTGTGATGTCAGCATCACAGTGCCTAACTCTTTTTGTGCACACAGGCCTCATTTCCCTGATTTCTTCACATTTACAAGGCAAATCCAAGCCTCTGTGAAAATGGCAAGATCTGTAAAATCTGTGACTATTTCCTTACCTACTACTGCCTGGTAAGGAAGAGATAAATATCAGCACCTGCTTAGCCTTCAAACACCTTAGCATTACTGATGCTTGGTACTAACTTCTGTGGAATTTATGTTAGTACTGAACAGTTGCTTGAAGGCTCTACCAATTGCAGCATGGCTTGGGGGGGGGACGGGGGACTAAAGCAGCAGTCATGCATAGTGGATGGTTCCAACATCCAAGGATAGCAAAATATATAAGGCCCAGCTGCCTGTCAATTGTAGTCTCACTTTTCAGCCACAAACAGCTGATTTGTGGCATTCTAGCTCTGGGTAGGAAGGAGAGGAGTGGGGACTAAGCACAACTTACCAGATTTGTTGGGCTCTGAAAGTGCTGTGAGGGATGGGGAATAGTAGGAAGTGTGGTGTTCTAGTGTCCCAGGCTATGTCGAGACTGCAGGCTTCTTTCAGAAAAACCTTTTTTCAGAAGAGATCTTCTGAAAAAACTTCTTCCAAAAGAGAGCATCCACACGCAGAAGCAGATGGAAAAAGTGATCTGCTTTTTTGAAAGATAGCATCCATTCAGTATGGATGCTCTCTCACATTTAAGCTGTGATTACTATGGACGGAATGGCCACCAGGCCGGCCACCTGTGCTTTTTCCTCTTCTTTCGAAAGAACTCTCTCTTCCCTGTCCACACACGCCTTTTTCCAAAAGAGCTCTTTCTATGAGGAAGAAACCTTTTTCTGAAAGACTATTACCAATGCTGGAAAAACCCCTCTGTTCTTTCGATTTACTTTCAGAAGAATATGCTTGCAGTGTGGACGTTACTTCAGGTTTTGTTAAAAAACGGCAATTTTTCCATACTCTGTAATGCAGACATACCCCCAGTGCACAACATGCACATGGAGGAAGCCCACGGGTTACCCACAACTGTTCTTGATTCTGTAGAGCAGTACAACAGCAGGTGCTGATAAATTCAGGAAAGAAATGCCTTACCCCACTCACACCAATTTTATTTATACTAGTGTCACTCTTGATTTCATGTTCAAGCCACATTCCATTTCAAGGAATGATACTAATTACTCCCTCTTCATTTTCTGCTATGTCATAAGAACCTGTGATGGGGTATACAAACCCCACAGAAGGAGTTAAAAGTATAGGGCCCAGCTAGCCCCACCATTCCAAACCCGCAGAGCATGCTTCAACTGGAGACAGGATTGAAGAGGAGCAACCCAGCTCAGAATAGGCAGGAATAAAGACCTCCCCTGAAAGCTCCCACTAAAAATGTGATCCTTCCCTGAGGGGACTGTACACTGAGCCCAGTTGGAACAAAAAGAAAAGTTTTTGCCTTTTCTTTATCTGAGACCAGAAGTAGAGGGAAGCATTGATAGGAAATGACCTCTGAATTACCCTCTCCTGGTCAAATATTGCCAACCCTCCTATGGCCCTTGAACAGAACCCGGAGGAGCAGGTATGCACAGGTTCCACACAACTGAATGGATGCTAACCATTAGGCATGGTTCAAGAAGCAATATTTATGAAGAGTAAGAAAGGAGAAATTCAGGAAATCATATACAGTATATTATAGCTAGAGCCGTTTTTAACTGGAAAGCTCTTTTCAAAAGTGGGATTGCACAGATGTTATTAAAAGGAAGAACTTGGCACTGTAATTTACATATCAATGTTAATAAGATGCAGAAATGAAATATGGGAGACTGAGCTGGAGTCTAACTCTGTCTCCTCTGTGCTAACGCAAGTTTTAAGAGAAGGAAAATCTTATTTTACCGTAAAGGCAGAAAATGGAATTTGGGATAGAGGGAGCAGAACAGACCTGTTCAGTAATGTGGTGTTATTTTTACAGACAGAAAACTAAACTGTGTTTTTGTTCAGTGATCTTCACCTCTTTCCTCCTCCTTTTTTCTTACTTAGATCAGGGGGTTTTCAATCTTTACTGCACCATGACCACCTTTTGACAACAAAAATTACTACATAACTCCAAGATGGGGGACTAACCCTTTGCCTGCCCAAGCCCCCCTCCACTGCTGGAGTGCAGAGGGTAAAGCGAAAGGGCTTTAGTCCCAGGCGGGAGGCCTGTAATCTGAGCCCCACACCACCCTAGGGATAGGTTCCAGTAAGCCTAAAACAGCCCTGGCCACCTCATTACAATGGGATCTCAACCCACAGTTTGAGAACCACAGACTTGGATTATGAAGTCCGATGAGTTCATAGTAGGCAGTAAAATACACCAGTATGGCAGTTCTGCAGTGGATAGATCTGATACTGTAACTGAATTGCCTATGTGGAAGTCCCACCAATGCCAAATCTTACTAAACAAGAGATGCTACACTAAAAATACCAGGACATGAAAAAAAAATTGTGAAAATGGAAATTGCTATACTCTGTTTTAAGAGAACTTGAAACCTATAATCACTGTCACAATAATATATTATCTACTGAATGATTTGCACAAAACAGCAAGTTAATGGTTATTTTTCATTTTATTTTACTTTTCATTTTGTAACTGATATGGCGGGGTGTCAATTTTATTCTCATGGGCAGGGTAATCTTATTACAGTTGCTTTTACAATGTTTCCAGATTATTTAAAAGTTACTCTAAGAAGGCTTATTTACATAATTCATGCTCTTCTAAATTGCACTAGGCAAAACAAAAATATTTCCAAAAAGATAGATATCTACTCCTGCTACTGTAAATGCTTAAATATAACAATTAGTATGTTTCTATAGATAACATTTAGGTCAAACACAAACATTTACAGTACATGTGCGTGTAAAAAGGTAAAATCTTTCAACATTAATCTTGCTGAAGGACATGGACTGTATTTGATTTTTGCAAATATCTAAATCAAGACAGAACTTTGTTTTTTCTAATTAAATTTACATTACGAATTTTTAAATGGATATACATTATTTTGTTTGCAATTTGCAATAAAATTTAACTTCCAAATAAACAACTTCATAGAAAAATATAGGAGAAATTCTAGATATTTAAACCAGTATTCTCATTTCTTCCGGTGGCATACATCTTATTACTCCAGATGGGTTAATGTTTAGAGGTCAGAGTCAGTGTAGAAGACACTCGGAAAATCTGGGGGAGCATATTGCTCAGCTGATAAAACATTTCCTCTGATATAGTCTGTAAAAAAGAAGACATCAGAAAGCATTTATCTGTATGCTATAATTTAGATGTCAAACTATTCTCTATTTTCTCTCCTCTCCCAGTACTATACTCAGTAGAACCAGGTCTACTATTCCCAAATGAGGTTTCTAGCCACTTATTCTATGACTAGGTCCCCACTTGGAATGTGAGATGATCTTCAAATAATTGCATCTGAGTTAGACAAGGCATGGCAAATCATGAAAAAGTAATAATGGGCCTTTTGTTAATAGTGGTAATTTGGAAAAGCTAGAGCAGACTTAATTCAAGTATTATGTTGTCTTGTCATACCTGCTTTTTTGTAACCAGACATCTTACTGCAACTGTGTTATTCTTTTTTTTTTAAAGTCATTAATACAACATAAAATTCAAAAAACTAGAAGTGTTAATAGAAACCAGTATAGAAATCAAACCCAGACACTTTGGTAGACTTTTACATTTTGTAGGTACCGAACATTACTGCAGTTCTAACAGCATCCTCAAAATACATGCAAAATTGTGACCTGTGCCAAATAAGCCAATTAAAGTATAAAATGGGGTGGAAGATTATTATTTCAGTATCTAATTTCCACAATATCATAAATGAAGTAGGGCTTTAGCTATAACCTAATTATGGTCATTAGTAAGACAAAACCTACTTGAGAATATTGCCTCGTCTTTATATTAGTAAAACTATCTATTTAAATAAAATTTCTATCTCCAATTACTGACCTCTCTCTCAAGTAGACCTAGCATAGTGCTTTGCATTTCAGATAGGTTTCTCTCTGAATTCCAGTATTATATCAGATTTTACTACCGTATTTTCCGGCGTATAAGGCGACTGGGCGTATAAGACGACCCCCTAATTTTCCAGTTAAAACATAGGTTTTGGCCTGTACTCGCCATATAAGACTACCCCCCCTTCCGAGGCAACACCATTTAATAACATCAGATTTGATTTAAATAATTTTAATTAAAATGGTTTTGACTTACCGGTACTTAAAATCCTTCAAAATCCTCATCATGTTCATACAAAGCCTGCTCGGCTTGGCAAAGGTTGTAATAGCCCGCCTCTCTGACTCAGCCAATCCGAGCAGGCTTTGAATGCATTAATAGATGACACCACTTGCCGTGATTGGCTCAGCGCGGTACATACAGTATCAGCACAGGGACGTTCTGTATGTAGCTGAAGCTACAGTACTGTATTTGGGCACATCCAGCGGGCTAAAAGGTAATAATAGGGACGTTCTATATGTAGCCGAAGCTACAGTATGTTTAAACCCGGCGTATAAGACGACCCCCGATTTTTGGGGGATGTTTTTTAGTATAAAAAGTCATCTTATACACCGGAAAATACGGTATACGTTTTTGATTCTTGCTGTCTACAGGCTTACAACTTTGTGTTTGTGACAAACAGTTTTTCAAACATATGAATATGATTCCAAATAATATTCCCTGTGCCAGCTAACTTTGGAATGTATATAACATTCAGGGCCACAACTAATGAACAAAACTTAGCACTAATCACACCTTTTGGAACACTTCCTGCTCCGGAAGGTCATCCAAAATTCGAATTTTAACAATTTGGTAGAATCTTTTTTGGGTTAGGGGCACTGACCCACAGGAAAAAAAAAATCAGTCAGGGCCCACACACAAGTGAGAAGCAAAAGCAAACAAAAAAACCCCACCTCACTGACATGATCCACAGAGCCTAATGGAGCTCAAACTGGTCGATTTTGTGTGTTCCAGTGTCATGGGAAGACTGCAGAGGAGTGGGGAGCTGGAGTACCAGAGCAGTTCCCCAATGCCGGAGGGGAGCCCTGAACCTCGAGGGCTGGATCCAGGAAAGCCAGGGGTTACATCTGGCCTCCTGGTCTTAGGTTACCCATCTCTGATAAAAAGCTTCAGAGATGTAGTGTACGCCTTTTGGGACCTGATCCCATGCCACTGATGTAAATAAGTTGTGCCACTGATTCAGTGGGAGCACGATCAGGCTCTTGACAGACTAACTTTCAAAGATGCTGGACAGCCAACTGTAAAAGCTTAAAATAAAGCCATTTAAGATTATACTCCATATTTTCCAAAGAAATTAGAAGTAATAACATCTCTCTATATTAATGATAAATATATATTCTTTAAAACACAGTAAATTATCTGGATTCCAGTTATCAGATTATCTGTTTAATAATTGATACATCCTATAATTCTTTCTATGTGAGGGTGGCAAAAAGTGGTTCAAACATTAAATATCACAACACCTCTACAGCATGTATTATTCCCAATTTATAGATGAGAGAACTAAGGCACAGAGAGGTTAACTGATTTTTTAAAAAGATTATATATAAAGGCTAACAGCATGGCAGAAAATCCAGATTTGTTGCTCCCAGGGCATTCTTCTATTTTTGTCTCCTAAATCATACCAGGAGTTAATTTCTCAATTTGACATACCTGTGGTACCAGAAATTGTACAGTCCGAGAAATTCCTCCATCCCATGAAGCCATTTCCATCATGAAGCCTAGCAAATAACATACACATATTCACATACCGTAGGCATTAGGTTTTCCTTTTAGTGACACTCACTGAGAACAGTATGGCTGTGTCTACATTGGCATCCCTTTCCGGAAAAAGTAGGAATAAGAGATCCTCCGGAAAAGGGCTTATTTTCTGGAGAATCACGTCTAGACTGGCGCTTTTCTCCGGCTTATCCCCAAGCCGGAAAAAAGCGGCAGCCATGTAAATGCAAATGCTGCGGGGGATATTTAAATCCCCCGTGGATTTGCAATTGCGATGTCTCATTAGCATCCCTTTTCCGGAAACGGATGCCAATGTAGACACAGCCTATAAGTTTATATATGCAGTTATGACTAGGAACAATTACCCAGCATTGCTTGGGTCATTATCTCAATTAATTTTTGGTTTGTTTTTTTTGAAAATTAAAATGTACATGCAAATCCAGGTTTGGCTGGGAGGCGGGGGTGGGAGGGCACAGAAGGACCACTTGTGATAATGTTAAGTGATTTCTGCGGTCAGTGAATGTGACAGAATAAGAAGAGAAGCATGCACTAACCTTTGACACACTTAAACACAAGCTCTGCCCTCTTTAAGCACCATGGTATAGTCATTTCCTTTAAAAAAATAAATTGGCTGAAGTTAGTAAAATATAACCTAAGTGGCAGCAGGTGGCTCAAGACAACAGATTGTTGTTGCTGCCAGACAAAGTTTTTCTGTCAAGTCTCTGATGTTTTTGTGTTTACCTTATTCCAATATCTCTACTACTCTCATTGTCTTTACAGTCTCTAGCATTATGAACTTACACACCTGCGCATTTGCTGAATACAACTTTGCTAGAAAGCAGAAAGTTCTCAAGCAGAGGTCTCTCTTGAATGTCTCAAATTACAGATCACATTTGCTAATGCTGTTTATTGATCCGCATCATTCTTTTCAAATAATATTATAAAAAATACTTAGCTTTCCGGAGTATTTCAAAACTGAGATTTTCAAAAGAATACGGATGCACAGCACCCCTTCATCTCAAGGGATACTTACATGCACTATCACCATAAGCAGCTTTGATAATCACAGCTTTCATGAATTAGGTACAGTTAAACTGGTTTAGATTGTCAGAGTAAGAATGTATTCAGCAGCCTAACTGCAGTAACTGATAATTTGTTGGTATTTTTACATACTAGGACAGATAGGTCTTGTGTCAGGGTTAGATGTGCATCACAAAATATCAATAACTCAAGTGATACAAATATAATAAGAAATTGACAGAAAATGTGGTAGTTTACATTAAATACCAAGATTAGGTATGATACCTAGAAAGTTTCCCAAGAGTAATGGTTAATAGGGACTTGTCAAATAAATTTGAGATCTAAATAATATGAACATTTGGAAACATTAAATGAATTTAGGACATACCTTGGAGTCTCAGCCAAGGAATGGATTAAAAAATGTATTCTCCCTCAGTGGCAGATAAATGTCAATTTTATTTAAAAAATAATTCCTATGATTCACACTCTGTAACTTTAAAAGATAAGCACTTCCTAGTAGGAATGAACTGAACAATGCATATAAAAATGGACTACATACTCTTCCAAATTTCCAGTTTAAGCTGTTCTGTATTTCATAAAACCTGCAAATGTTTCTAAATCTGCACAGGGTAAATGTGTTGTCCACAAAACAAATTGTCAAATGCCACACAAAGAGCATCTCTACAGCAGGAAAAACACAACCTCATTTAAAAAGTATCCAACTTCTGATCATTTGATAATGCAAATACAGTTCACCCCATACAGGGCCTTAGAGGGTTGCTGAAAGCCATAGTTCGCTACACTAGATAGTGAATCTTTATTAAAAATATATATATCTAGAGTGGTGGTAAATCCAACATCATAAAATAAACACTTAAAAACAAATTTCTCATGATGCAAATCCTTAGCATGTTTGCTTTGCCCTTGGTTATGCAACAAATGAATCAGATAGCACAGTGCTGGACAACAGCAAATAAATTTTTTTCAAGCTTTCCGGAAGAAATACTGGGTCTTCATTGTAATTTATCTGCCTACACAGGCTGTTTGTCACATGTAAAGTAGGCGTTGGTTGGTGGTTTTGATCCCTGTTTTGGCCTAGGTTAAAAACCAGTGTCTAAAAAGAAAAGGTCCTTTTGCCCTGAAGGCAAATTAGCAGTAGTTTTGCAGTCACTAAGGTCAAAAAACAGTTGATGCCTTAAAAGGACTACTGAAGAAGCAGGATATGACACCAGTTCTTGGACTGTGTCAGAGGAGTACAGAGGTTAAGGTTTGGGGGCACTCATAGAAATAACTGATTGGATACAGAATGCCAATGAATTAAACCCACAAAAACTCAAATATGAATTAAAATTTGAATCATTACTGGGTCATTTTCAAAAATGATGCACTCATGGATTTCATTATGTTATCAGGGTATTTTTTGCATGCCATATATTCCTTTACTGTTCATGAGGCTGCTCAAACCAGATGGACAGGGTCCTATGTGTAAGAGGTATAGAAAATATATCATTCTGGGTTGAGTTTTGATTGGTGTCATTTTTGTGAGGTAAAATAACTTTTCACAGAGCTGTGATCTGCTATCAGTAACCACCATCCCAGCTCTGGTTATCAGGGTATTTTTTGCATGCCATATATTCCTTTACTGTTCATGAGGCTGCTCAAACCAGATGGACAGGGTCCTATGTGTAAGAGGTATAGAAAATATATCATTCTGGGTTGAGTTTTGATTGGTGTCATTTTTGTGAGGTAAAATAACTTTTCACAGAGCTGTGATCTGCTATCAGTAACCACCATCCCAGCTCTGCCTTGCC